ATACATCTTTCCTTATCTTTTATTTGTTTTATTTTCTTATCTTTTTAAACGTGCATACAAGAGGAGTAATCTGTTTATTAATTTTTCTATTTTTTGATTAATTAATTTTAGTATCTATTCTTTGTTTTTTTGGTTGAACCTAGGCGGTACCTGGCAGGGATGACACTCAATTTATTAATATAAAATCAAAAGATTTGACAGTGCTTAAGACTTTAATTATCTACTTTATTCCTATTATTATGTTTTTACTTATATAGGATTTTTTCGCATTTCTCGTTATTTACCAATACATATAAAAATAGTTTTGTTTCCTCATTTTTTTTTCAATTTTCCTACGTTATTTATTGTTCACTTTCATTGCTATTAAAATAGCAAACATTACTATAAAATTGTATGAATATCTATGAATTTTTATATAAATATTTTTGCTATCGTTGGATTAACATCTAATTCATTTTTATGGATGTTATGGTGAAACTATTCATAATCTGTGTGGAAGCTATCCCTACATATGCAATGGAAAGTTTTCAGCTCCCTGATACTCTTTGTGATGAGATCCACTCGATTCTTGCATCATTCTGGTGGGGCGATTTGAAGGATAAACGGAAGATTCATTGGAAAGCTTGGGAAAACATGTGCAGTCCGAAACAAGAAGGTGGTCTTGGTTTTAAAGATCTTAAGTTGTTCAACCTCACACTCCTTAGAAAGCAAGCATGGCGCCTGTTGACAAACACCCGATCATTACTGTACAAAATTTTGAAATCTCGTTATTTCCCAAACAGTGAGTTCATGGATGCGAAACTAGGAAGAAGGCCAAGTTTCAATTGGAGATCAATCCTCCTGGGAAGAAATGCATTGTAGACCGGGTGCCGAAAGAGGATTGGCAAAGGACAACCGGTTGATATTTGGCAAGATCCATGGCGGCCAAAACCATTTACATTCAAGATAACTAGCCCTCAAAGCCCCATTGCTAGAAAAAATACAGTGGATGCCCTGATAAACCAAACGGAAGGAACATGGAATAGACCCCTCTTGAACCATCTGTTTTGGAAAGAAGAATCAGATATCATCGCGAGCATCCCTTTGTGTTTTTCTATGGAAAAGGACTTCTGGACGTGACATTATACCAGACATGGGAAATATACGGTCTCTAGCGCTTACAAGGTTCTTTGCTCATATCCATGGTTCCAAAGTACCCCCATAGCATGCAGCTCGAGTTCTAACATGGAAGCCTCAACCTGGAAGAAATTGTGGAGCATTGATATCATTCCGAAGGCGAAACACCATCTCTAGCGCATGATTACGAATTTGCTAGAAACTAAGAGAAACCTCTGGCAGCGAAAGGTTGACGTTGCGCCAAGATGCTCCACATGTGATGAATTGGAAGATTTGAATCATGTTTTCTTTGAATATAAGAAAGCAACGGAAGTCTAGCAACTGACACGTTTTACCTCAGAAATAAACAGAAAGCCTCATCCAATCGCCTCCATCAGATTAGCAGATATTCTTGATACTCTGCCTAAAGTTTCGCTAAGTCGATTCGCCTGCAATGTTATAATCTGTGGTATGCGAGGAATTCTTTGGTGTTCGAAGATCATGGTTTTACAGCAAAAAATATCCAGGACATGAGCTAATCAATGCTATCATCCTGGAGAGAGGCGCAATTGCACCATTTCCTCATCCCCGCACCAAATGAGAAACCCGAAACCTCTCTTGACTTCATGCAGGGTACATGCATCTTCTTTGATGGAGCAGTCAACACATCCCTCAAGATTTTGGCCTCCAGAATACTAATCTTGGAACTGCTCATCAAGTTTTGTTGGTAGCTATGCCAGAAGCTATGACGGAATGTTCACTCCGAAGGTGATCGAAGCCATGGCCGCGAGGATGCAGTTAAGTTAGCAGCTGCCTCAGGCATTGATCGTTTCTATCTGCTAGGCGATTCATCCTTTATAATGCATGGCTTTAACTGTGAGGATAATGACTTATGAGATTGGGGACTTGTTATTGCCGATACAAAAGCTCGATTCCAAAACCATGTAGATTTCAGTTGCAAATGGATCAACGGCGTATTTTCCCATGCTTTAGCAACAATTTACAAAATCCAAAAAAGATTTTGAAAATTATTGGGACTTTATTCCCGATTTTTTACCTCTCTCCGTGTTGGATGGTTTCCAAGTAAATTAATGAAATTCTCTTCATTTCAAAAAAAATATATACATATATATATATATATATATATATTTTGTTCAATTTTAAAGTACTTTTATTATTTGTGTTTCTTGACATCCAATCTTATCTTTATATAAATACTTATATGAACAATTTTAATAATTTATCATCAGTTTCCAGTAACACCTACTAATCTTCAAATACGGTGAAACTATAAGATTATTTACTAACATTTTTTTTTACTGTTATGATTTTTTTATTTGTCTAAAATCATAATACATATATGAAAGTATATCCAACCTAAACTCTAAAAAAAGTGTCAAATAACTAAAAATAACATGTGTCTGTATCAAAAAAAAAAAACTCCAAGCTGGTACTCGTAAACCCCTTCCACCTGTGACCTTAGTGGGTAGGTCAAACCCATCCCCGTAGCAGCAACTACGAGAGGATGCAGACGAGCCTTTTCATAGGTGATGACCTGGGCATTGGTTTGATCGAGATTGAAATTGATCTCATGTTTGCACCGACTACACTTAAATTGGACAAGAAAATTGAAGCACAAACGAATCAATAAAACCGGTGTTAGAAAAATTCAGTAAGATCCGCTAAAATTTAGTTGTTTATTATGTCAATAATCTCAACATTGACTTGATCAACAGTTATGATAATTTACTAACCTTCGTATGAAAATTGAACATTGTGTTTTAGTTATATCTTCTTTTTTTTTAATTTTTATTTTTTGTTCATTTGGGTATGTTGCAATCTACCATTTTTTTGTTCTTTTGAAGCAAGGTAAAGGCTTATTAAAGAAAAAGCAATACAATCTTGAACCATAAAAGATGGATTCTTTGATGCAAATATACAAAAACAATCCACAAATAATTTCACACAGGAACACATATTATAAAAATACAACTAATTCCATCCCTACATCTTCACACCATTTTTTCTACAACTCTTTTTTTTGGTAAACGAGCATGTAGTGGAATCACTACAAATGTAATCCACTTATTCAACAATCATGAGGACATAGAGCAGACGAACATATTTGTAGTAGGCAAAGTCTAGTTCCTTAAGTTAGACCTAAATCAGAACATATAGTTCTTATTCCTCAAGGTTAGAGATCAACCATCAGATTTTTTTAAAAAAATTTGGTTTTTCTTCTGGAAAAGCCATAACATCAACCATATCATTGTTCCACCTGAAATCAGAAATCTTCTGAGGTCCAAAGGTGGTGGAGGGCTGTGCGGACCAAAATGAACAACTCTAACAGACCCTCCAACATGTTTGTCGCATACAATTGTGAGTGCAATTATGGTCATTGCAAGTTGACAAGCTCTTTCATTAGTGATAGGTCTCTGATAAGCAAAAATTTCATATGTAAAAGTAGTAGAAAAGTCAGGTTGTGAACCGATAGAGGATACCTGGATTGCGATAGCAACCCCCAAGGGCTAACTTTATAAATTAGTGGAACTCCCTCATGGAATCAGCTATTTTTCGGAGGGGGAGTGATGTTTCTCAACCTCTAACTAAGGAAAGTGACTGCTTCATTAACAGTAAGAATGCCTTATTTTTCCATTTCAGTCCCAAGGGTTCTATAGGTCCCCTTATCACCAGAAAAGGCAATCGCCAGATTGTCAATGAGGTTGTTAATCTTCATCACATTCTTCCAAAATATGACAAACTCTCCATCGGGAAGGCTGCGAGTGGTGTGGCCATTAGCCGCAAACACTATTTGTTCTTCAAGAGTATCCAGATGCCTTTATTTTCTTCACATTAGTATTTGCCATCTATAAAAAATTATGAAAATGCAACGATATAATAATATTATTTTTTTTTTCGTTTCTGCGTATAAATGATTAGAAAATTATACATTCTTGATTCACTATACAATGAGTAATATCTTCAGTATTTAGGCATTGTATGATGAACATTAAGACCAAGTAATTGTAGAGAATGTCATAAAAAAGTATTGAATTTCAAATCTAATAGAGATCTAAAACCATTCCTCTTGTCATTTTGTTCAGATCTTCATTTGGACTTGCCATTAGAAGATGCAGATCCTGTGCGTTGATACGCTTTAGGGAGAATAGCTTAGGTAGTTTAATCCTTTTGTAGTGTTCTTCAAGTGATGAATGTTTGCAACACTATCCTCAAAATCACCATTACTAATATCCGCTGTTTAATTATTTGGGTCTTAACCTTGACTTGTTAGTCATTGCTCAAATAATTCATGTTGCCTCAAATTTATTCAATTAGAGTGCATTTTATGATAACTAAGACTAACTAAAAACTTGTTAAATTTCCATATTAAACCAATTTTCATTAATATTTTTTTAAGTTCACAGATAATGTTCACACCAAGGTTAATAAGATTACAAACAAACGCAAATAGTACCAACTTAACAAATACAATCCAGTAAGAAATAAGTCAACATGGAGCTCTCTCGTCAAACACCATCAGATCTTAAATGACTAATTCAACACACTAATTTTTCTTCTTCTTCTTCTTCTTCTTCTTCTTCTTCTTCTTCTTCAATACCATTAGAGATCTTGCATTGCCTTTGTAAATCTTCTACATGAAACCCATCATACCTTCTACCAGCCATCTGGCAGATTATATTTGTTTCCTCTTCGATGTGGACCAGTTCTTTGTAGATAGGATGAAACCAAACATTCGACTTGTGAGACAGCTCTTTTAATGTGATACTCTTCATCCATTTTAACCGTGACATCACACTTGCATAACATTGGCCAATTTGAGATCTTGAAGTCTCATAATCATACTGCTACATTTGACTAATAATGCGTGCAACTTTCAACATCATCTAGAACTCATTAGTTTGTTTAATGTCCACACTGAGGAAACGTAGAGCATCATCCCAATCTCTAGTTATAGCAACGTTAGCCGCAACCACCAGATTATAGAAGTTGCAACTTTTAACGAGCACATCACAGAAGTCCTTGGCCACATAATTTGGCTCTTGAAATGTAGCAGCAGAATATATTTCATCAGTTGCTACTTTCTCATCATCATTCAGTCTAACGCGACCTTCAAATTTGTGCACAAATTGATCTTTCAAAGCGAGATCAATAGAATTTTTTTCTGCCTCAGCAACCAAACAAAAATACGGTTATCTGTTTTCCTCAGAGCATAAAAAGCGCGTAGATACTTTTGATCCTTCTTCTTTAGATTATGTTGTACTTCAGGATCCTTCTCTAAAGCAATTTCCTTTAACTTTTCGAAAATTCTCCTTATTTTAAGAACTGCTTGACTAGATTCCTCCATGATATCATGACTCGATGTTATTTGCTCAACCATGACTTTTCCTGCTTCAATTTCCCCCTTGATACAATCCCAAAACAACAATAAAATTTCATAGGGTCGTGAAGGAGCTACCAACCGTCTCCCACCATCGTTCAGAATGACTACTTGCTGATTGTCCATAAATTTGATAACAACCTTCCCAAGTTCCCTAAAATCTCTTAAATGCAAGTCGAAGTGGTTTCCCAATTCCATTCTAAAGATGCACCTACCTATACTACTATACAACTTAACTCTTCATCAGAGTACTGTCAAAGTGGATTGATGCTGAGCTTTTAATTCAGAGAAATGTAAAAACAGAGAAGGATCAGTTGAAGACTCAGATACGAGAGAAGAATCAGCACGGGAACTACCCACGAAGCCTCCAAATCCCAATACGCTTGAGTTACCTCCGAAGTAAAAAAAGGATCAAACTGCAGCCTAATGGTTTTCGTTATGAATCCAATGGAACCCATGCAGTCCGCATTCATTATGAGTTGTTGGGCGTAGGTAATTAACACCATTGTTACCTCCAAGAGCATATAACATGTTCCTCTCAAGAACAGGCTCTGCATCAACAAATTCGCATTGAAGCTAGGCCTGGTTGATAAGTGCCCTGCCCAGTTGCAAAAGATGCCATCCAGGTGTAAAGAACAGTTTGCCATTGATTGGATTTGGATTCCCGAAGAGATTCCTAGCAAAGACGACCTCAACCACACTCTGGAGCTGCAAATACTGATGGTCGTGGGGAATTAGAAATGCAGCTCTTTCTTGATTATAATGATGCCTATTATCCTTGAGCTCCTCAAGAAGATGAATGATTTCTTTCTCAACATTGGGACCAATCGGCCATCCCAAATGTTGGGCCAGGGTCAATACGAGATCCTTGTTCTCGATCTTGTCCTCACATGCGTACAACCAAAAGCACATGTTGCGCAACAACTCGTACGTCGCTCTGAATGCCATTTTACTACGAAGATAGTCCTGAGAGCCTAATTAGATAGTTCTTTGCATATTTATTCTTCATAGAATTAGGTAGTAATTAATTTTATTTTCATGTAATAGGTGTTCTAGCAATTATACTTGTTGGACTACCCTTTGCACGGCCGGTTTATCTCTTTCTTCTATGTAATAGCGTGTCATCAACAAGAGGGTTAATTCCTTATCGACGCTAGGGTTTTTTCTCAAATTTATAGATGGAACGCCAGTTGAATTGTTCCACTTCTTTATCTTTTCCTCTTTTTATCTTTATTTACGAACCGAAGTAAATTCTAAGTCCTCGATTTTAGGTCTGAAGCAGGTTTTCAAACTCTTCCCCAATCGTCTGATTATTTTATATTTGAAAGATTTTTATTCCTTTTTTCCCATGGTTCTGAGGTGATTTTTTTGCACAAACACTATAAATAAAAATTATTTACAATTTATCAAAAAAAAAGTAAAAATCTATACTACCATTATGATAATGTAAATTTTTTGATAAAAAAAACTAAAAAAGCAAAACTTAAAATATAAAAATTAAAGTGTACTAGGTGGTGTGTTCAATCGCGAGACGCACACAACAATGTTGAATCTCATATAAATCCAACCTATGACATTAATATGAGTCATGGTTCACACCGAACCAAGTAGCTGAGAAAACTCCGGCAAAAGCAAGTTATCACAAACTGAGCTGGATAACAGTGTTCATCTTAAAAAAAAAATGAAGGCACCAGTTACAATTAGAAGTTTGTGATTTATGAAATTCCTTAATTTGTCCACACATTTGGTACTAAACACTACATCGTCAAAATCTCTGCAGCCCTCCGAAGCTGGCAAAGGTAAAGATGCCAGAGCTGAAAACAATCTTTGCTCATCTTCTCAACAACAAGAGGAACTACCCCCCGACTCCCCTGAAAAAGTCCTGAAAGGTTCTTGTCAACAAGAAGTAGATAGTTGGACAAAATCTCCGCCGCCGTCCGAAGCTGGCAAAGGTGAATAATCCTGAACTAAAAACATCTCCTCAACTTCTCAACAACAAGAGGAACTACCTCCACACTCCCTTGGAGAAGTCCTGAAAGGTTTGTGTGTTGAATTTTGCCAATTTTTCCAAAATAATTATTATGAAGCTTGACATTTCAATTATACCTACTACTGTGTGAGTGTGTTTGTTTGCATGTGCCTCTTGTGCATATGGCAACGAAGCACTCATCATAAATTTTTGTGCAATTGTTGAGTCTATTTTCATTTTCTCAAGCATCAATCCATCATGTGTGCTGAAGTTAATTTATGGATTTTTGGCTTTGTTGATTCTTCTGGCATTGTAAAAAGTACCACAACTAATAAGAGTAATAGTACAACCAGATTCGAATTGTTTGTCAGGATACTAGGCGCAGCTGCAGAAAATCTCTTCTTTACAGAGGTGGTTGATGAAGCCACCTAGCACATCTAAATGATTTTTTTAAATAAAGTTTGGAGATACTAAGAAAATCTAGGATGCTTTAAATGTAAGAGACTAGGTTTCAACGAATAAGAATTGATAAACAAGGTTTTTCTCGTCCACAAGTTTCTATTATAATTTTTAAGAGTTGATATTCTATTTTTTAAATCCTAAGATTCTAGCATATACTTTGATGAACAAAGAATCAAATGAAAGAAAAGATCTTGAGAAATGAGTATATGGACAGGGGAAGCCACATTCATTGAATTGTCCACCAAATTTGTTGTTAACTACCCTTAGATTAGTAAGAAATATAAGAAGTTTTTCATTTTTGCCCCACCAAATTTCTAAAAAGTTAGGGGCAAGCATGTAAATAGCTAGGAGTATTAAATTGTAAAGCATTACAAAAATTTATTCCCTACTTGGCATCATTAAGTATGAATACGTGCCCTTCCAAAATTAAATAATAATTTTGCCAACTTCTCACTCAAATTAAAACTTTTAATATTCTCCCTTTTAGTCTTTGATCATTTTTCTAGTATACTAAAGAAACTCTGATTTGTTTCGTCTGCATCACTCTCTAGATTTATATCCAAACTTCTCTCCAAAAAGGCAGAACCTCATATTTTTCTCCTTTGTATCACTATCCAGATCTTTGGTTAAAAATCTTGGATATTGAAAGTTGAAATTAGGAAGACATTCTCAACTAAGCCACTAAGGTATCATCCCTCTTTAATCCTTTTATAAAATCAAAAGCTTCTTTTATGCATCCATATTTGATTCACTTTTTTTTTTTTGGTAATTCGCCAATATTTCCCTTTTATTGAAAATGTGAATTATTGAAATCTTGTATGTTATGTGTTTTATTTAGATTATCGTTAATGCTACATATTATGCATAAAAAGTTTAAGGTCTTTTTATTTTTGTTTTGATATGATGGTTAAGGATTTAAAATGGAAGCAATCCTTATGCGAGGTTCAATTATCTTTGTTCAATATGATTTTAATTATTTTAGTTTACAACTTATAAGTGTTTTATAAGCTTCAATTTCAAAACGTGTAATTTAATTTTGTGTTAAAAAATAACCTATTTTAATGTTACATCCTTTTTTATATAATTTTTTTAAATAGAGAAAGCACATATTAATGATAAAAAAGCCAAAACCTACTATAGATGAAGAAATGATAAGAAGTAAAAGAGGAGAAATTCATGTGGAGCAATCATAACATGTCTATTCAAAGAACCTCGAATTGAGTTCAATTCTAGTAATCTTGAATCTGATCCTGGATACTAAGAGTAATTTTCAAGTTATGATCTTAATGATTGGAAAAGAATAAGAAGAACATACTTGCAAAAAGGCCCTTTTCAACCCCAGTTAGATAATTTTCTACAGAAGGAGGATTGGAAAAATGTCAAGAAAATTTTGTCCATCTTTGTTTAATGAATATAGAAATTGGTTGGAGTATAACATTAGTAAGGATGCAGCATATTGTTTGTGTTGCTATTTATTTCGGTCTGATTTTGCGGTGGGAGGAGATGGATCATCACATATGGGTTCTTTTATTGGAAAAAGAAAGAATTGTTTCGAAAGCACATTAGAAGTGCTAATAATGCTCATAATCAAGCCTGAAAAAAATCTTGAGATCTAATGAGAAAAATACAGCATATTGAAATTGTTGTCTTTAAACAATAAGAGCAAGCATTCAGCCTTTACATATTATGGGTAACTTCCACAGTTAATTGCATTTGGTTTTTTGTTTCGGCAGGTTTACCTTCTCGAGGGCTTGATGAATCTAAAGTTTCTCCTAATCATGGTAACTTTTTTGATTTTATGAAATACTCAGGGGATATAAGTGAAGAGATAAAGAATGTGATTTTACAAAATGTTTCAGATAATAATCAATTAACTTCTCTGGATATACAAAAAGAGATGCAATCGTAAATGAACTTAGAGATGAATATTTTGCATTATTTGTTGATAAATCACATGATAAATCTAATAAAGAGCAAATGGCTATTGTATTGTGTTATGTTAATTTGAAAGGCCTGGTTGTTAAATGCTTTCTTGGAAATTTTTCATGTTATATTTATACTTTGTCATTGAAAAAAATAATAGAATCACTTCTTCCATATTTTGGGCTGAATATTTCTAGAATTAGAGGGCATGGTTATGATGGTGCAGGTAATATGCGAGAAGAGTTCCATGGAGTTAAAAGTTTGATTTTGAAAGATAATATGCATGCATTTTATGTTCATTGTTTAGCACATCAACTTCGACTCACTATTGTTGCAGTGGCAAAAAATTATCTTGAAATAGTTTGATTTCTATTGTATTAGAGTTATTGGAATTTTTTCCTTAAATATATTTCCAAGTATATACCTGGACAAACATAAACCTTTCAAAAATTTTGTGGACAAACTTATATGTCCCGGATTTAAGAAATCCGAATGGGGGAGAAACTCGGATTTCGGAAATCTGAACCTCTCTAAACTCGGATTATAGAAATCCGACTTTGTGTTACGTAAATCTAATATTAAGTTAATGACAAAAATTATTGTAATTAATCTAAATCCGGATTTTCTAAATCCGTATTTACGAATAAAATATTAATTTCCGGATAGAAAAAAATATGTGTTGAAAAATTAAATTTGGAAAAACTCGGATCACGTTAATCCGAATAAATGTAGATTCGGATTGCCGAAATCCGAATCTCCTCTGTTTTCTGAAAAATACTAACTTTCAGTTGGCTATATACTCGGATTTACAAAATCTGAATCCTTTACAAAAAGTCTAAGTTTGGATTTCGCAAATCCGAGTTTATGTCAGAACTGAAAAAAAAAAGTTGGACTGGTTTTAACCAGCCCTATACCTGTTTACAGCACCAACAACAATGAAACATTGGAAAACAGAAATTTAATGGCAACAAAACAATAAACGGCATTCGATTAACAACAAAACAAATCAAGTTTCATATCAAAATCAATACAAAAACTACTTTAAATGTACAAAATATATCAAAGGTATCATTTTTCCCCTTTTCCTTTATTGTGTGCATCCGGAGTGTATTTATTTCGGCCCTGCCAGATCCTGTCTCCCCTCTTAAGATACGTGAGTATTGAACTCTGTTGTGGTTGTGACTGTCCACCAAACTGAGCCTCGGGTTGGGGTTGGGATTGGGACTCCCCTATGGTGAGAAATTTGACTCCCGGTTGTGGTTGTGACTGTCCACCAAACTGAGTCTCGGGTCCACGAAGGTCAAACTGAGTCTCGGGTCCACCAATGTCTTCAAATTGAGTCTCGACCTGGATGCGTGAGCCTCGAGAAGAATGTGTTTGATCCTCATTTTGTTGACCCTCAGTTTCTTGTTGTGATGTCCGAGGGGAGATTGGGACCTTCCTCTTTCTTCCTCCACCAATCTTATCTCTCGACCACAGTTTCATTTTTTTACCCGGCGGAGGTTTTGAGGGCAAAGATGGATCTTCATCAACCAAGATTTGGGTATCCTCCACCTCCATCTCATCATTTGCGCCCAGGGTTAAAGCAGCATGT